TATATATATATATATATATATATATATATATATATATATATATATATATATTTATTTATTTATTTACTTATTTTTTTTTATTTATATTTTTATTTATATTTACATAAAAAAAATTATTAAGTTGTAAGCAAACTCGTGCAAATGTATCCATCCCATATCCAGGATTAGTTGTCACATGTCTTGCATCCCTTATAGAAATATCATACTAAGAATCATTGATAATTACTTATTTTTAGTATTAAAAATACTGGATAATAAGTAATTATCAATGATTCTTAGTATGATATTTCTATAAGGGATGTAGAGGAAACAAGACATATTATTTTAAGTTTTAAATGTTTTATATATATATATACTACAATTTTACTATATTCCAGCTTTACAAAAAACATGGTAAAAAGAAATATAATTTTTGAGATTTTCTTCTTAAGATAGTATATCTTAAAATAGATATATCTAATATTTTACATGTATAATACTTACGTAATATTTAGTACGATATATTCTTCGTATAGAAAACTAAATTAATACGTTCGCTACCCAGCGTCGCATATATGTGACGCACCAATCTCTCACTTGACGCTTATCTTTACTCAAAATTTGCAATTCTGCTTAACATTAATTTTACTTAACACATTCGCTACCAACGACATATCTGTGTGACAGTGACAATTTTTCTTTCTGCATTCACATTAACAGACTAAGCTGTATTTTGCACAATTACATAACAAATACAATATAATTTATGGGGAGAGTTCTCCAAATAAACCGTGGTAGCGAGCCCGTGTTAATAAAGACCCTGTTCTTAGTGTGTAATTATATTACATGTAAGAAGATTGAATGTTTACATTTCACAAATTTCGCACGTTTCGGCCGTCGCTTTGAAGCATTAGCGGTTCAAAGCAACCGTCGAAACGTACGAAATTTGTTAAATGTAAACATATCGAAATTTGTGAAATGTAAACACGTCTTCTTACATGTAATATAATTGCACAGTAAAATAACGACCACACTTCGTGCTTGTCTTTTAATATAATTGCACAGTAAAATAACGACCACACTTCGTGCTTGTTTACTTAGTTGTCTTAAACTTAGAGTCATTTGTTTGGAATATACAGACATATCTATATCGACATGTATACGTGCTATTTGAAGAAGTATTTGTTTGGAATATATAAACACATTTATATCGATATATACACATGCTATATGGATACATTCTAAATACTTTCTGACAATTCAAAATAAGATGAAAAAAGAGTGAAAAGAAAAGAACAAATAAACCACCGCTCTCTTGCTTCCTCCTGTTGTGTTATTTCTCAAACGATCCTCCTTAGACGATCTCTTTTAATTTTCAATCGTCGTTTGTGCGATAGCTTCTCGATAGCTGCAATATCGAGTGCGATAATTAGGCGAATAAAAGACCGTCGTCAAAGGTTCGAGCGGTCGCGTAGCCGCTCCGCGAACTCTGAACTCAAAGCGATCAACGTTGAGAATCCTGTGTGGCGTGTGTGTGCTATGAAATTTCCACGGTTACACACACACACATATTTACATACTTAGCCACACACATATACACACATAGAGAAACACGATATACGTTACGCACACGGTCTCTTTCTCTCTCCCTCTCTCTCCCTCTCGCCGAACTTTGGCGGTCCGGCAAAGTGCGCGCGACTCGCTTTGATTTGCATAGTAATAACGTGGCCGTGCGAAAGAGTAAACCGTCGTGGCAGATGAGAGCTAATTAGTATAACCAGACGGTACACAACCGCTTGTGTCCTTGCGGGAATTATTAATCGGGTCGCGCGGTTGCCGGTGGTCTGTTAAGCAAAGTTCTTTCCAAGCACTCGAGCGAGCAACCCCCTTTGTGTTGCCGGAAAACCACCCCACCCACTCCAGCCATCCTCCGCGAAGTGTTGGTGCATGCAAAAAGCGCCCGCGAATCCTTACGCTGCCGCGCGGCGTTACGGATCTACGTTAATCTTTGAGAGCGCGCGCCCCACGTACGTGTCCCGGGTCGAAATTTTGCTTCCACGTTAACTCTTTGCGGCCCTGCGTCGAGTCTATTCTCGACATCGCCTCTCGTTCCAGTCAATACTGCAAACCAACATTTTATTCATTAATAATATACTTGATATAAATATATTATTGTATAAATTCGTGTTGTTATTAGATTGTTGCAAAAGACTCGTCATTTTTCCATCAACTTTAGATTGCCAATGCCAGTAATTATTGTCAATGTGGAGTCAATTTTGACTCCCTTAATTGTTCCTCTTGTTTTCTCTCATTTATAACTTATTAATTTAATTTTTTTTTTTCAAAGAAAAAGAAAATAAAATAATATCAGTTAAACGAAAAGAAAGTAAAATGGTGCCGGTTGAAAACATTTCTTTTTTATTAAATCATAGCATGTCTTCGAAGTACATTTATCCAAAATAATTAACATTCTATACACAGAAAAATATCATTCTACTACTTCTGCTAAGAAGAACAATTACTCAGTTTACTTCTCTTCCTTTAACTAATGAATGTCTTCAACAAAGAACAATATTTTCTTGATAATAGTCTTTTAAAGTTTATACTCATCACAAATTTTATAAAAGCTTATTATCATATTTTCAAAAGAATTTATTCAATATTATAAAAGTTTGTCGAAGAAAATGTTAGTTTGGCTATATGTAGTAAGCAAATCGAATGTTTACTTTAATATTCTTGATTGAGATACTAAACTTGATAGGATTCTGAATATATTTTAAGTAAATTTGTTACCTATGATGGATAGATGTGATAGATTGGCGGATATATAGAGTAAATGACGCAAATTGCCTCATATCTCGTGTACATGTAGATCAGGTCAAACTAAACACAAAATTTCTCTACCATTTTGCAAACAATCGCTTAAAATTTTTGAATGAAAAAGAAAGAAAAGATAGAGCATTTCCAAGTATGCAGGCTTTCAAATATTGCAATAAATGGTTATTTATTGTCATTTTCTCCATATTGAAACTAATATAAAGAACTTATTTGAAAATTATTGGATAATCTCGTTTTCTATTTTATTTTTGACAAGCACGACCAATTTTTTACATTAATTTAACACATTAGTTGAATATTGAAATATTGAAATAAACGCAAACCACGTAATATTGTGGCGAAATAGCAGAATTCCTACGAGTTGGTTGAGGAAAAGAAGTCGAGAAAAATTTAATCTCCAGAAGATTAATCTCGCAAATTCGATTGAACTTAAGAAAAATTCATGAAGAGTCTTCCGATATAAAACTGTGTAAGCTATTGCCCTGCTTTGAAATGTTGCAAATTGGTATGTATTGTCATTTTTTTTTTTTATATAATGGCACTCAAAAATGGGACTTGGGAATTATTTTGTTATCTCTCATTATTCAAAAATTTGACGACCTTGAAAAGATGCGAAATATTTTTAGAGCGTTAATTTTGTCGTTATATACACTGAAGGAAAAATTACCTTAAAATCAACAAATATTTCTTTGATGGGTGCCATTAACATATTTACTTAAATCTAAATTCTTTTTATTTAAATCAAATGTTGTTTACCTGATTGTTTACCTGATTTAAGTAATATTTGGTTCAAATAAAGAGAATTTAGATTTAAATAAATATGTTAATAGCACTCATCAAAGAAATATTTGTTGATTTTAAGATAATATCCCTCAATGTATATATAAACTACTGAAAGTGCGTGTTGCTGATTGGCGGGCAACGATTGGCAGGGAATATGTTCACACTTTACCCGTCTGCCTATTGTTTCGGCACTCTCATATGTCGCGTACTTGCCGTAACCGAGTCATTTTCTCCCGTGCCGACAAGCGACCCGGAGCGACGTGTACTGGTGAGTTATTTACGATTTCCGCCGGGTGATTAAAATATTTCACCGGCTCCTGAAACATTTCATCAGGCTCTCGTCGGCGTCACGTTAATTAACTCGTGTTTCTCCGATCGAATCGTATCTGCACGGGTGTCAGTGTCAGTAAGGGTGTTTCCGGAGCGTCACGATGGAGCAGCCAGCAGCAGGATACTGAATCGGAAAGCTATGACGGAGGACGTCGGAACGCAGGCAGCCATATATCGTATATTTCCAGGTGTGTCAAATCATCTATTATACAGGATGCTTTCAATTTCAACAGACGCTCGACGAACTTACCGAGAATAAGGAGACACTCGAGTCGAAATTGGGGCTGACATTTATAGTTCGTTGTCATTTAAGTAGTTCTGTCATGAAACAAGTTTCGTGAGATTTGATGAGACTTGCGCTATATACACAGTGAAATATTATCTAACTGTTCGTATACTCAGAAAAAGATTGACCATTCGAGAACTGAGATATACTGTGCTCGAAAAAAATATGGTATCTAAAAATTATAGGCAAAATGGGTAAAATTTTAACGAGCGTTACTCCGTGAAAAATCATCGCGCGAACGTCTTTTTTGTAGTTTTAAGCGCAAAGTATCCACTGTAAGACTCCATCGTTGGATTTTTATTTTATAACATCCTCACATTCCCCTTCCTCGCGATAACATGTATGTTACGTTAAATTTTTGTTTAGTGTTAAGTATTTTGGTTTAACTGAATAGAGCCCCTTAAGCCTCAGCATGAAGGAAACGGCGGTGAGCCGCCATTTGTAGCATCAAGGTAGGACAATAGGCAGTCTAATGTTATATCTCGGGATTCTCCGTCGGTCTTCCAAGTTCAACGGAATTTGTGCTGGGTTAACGTGGAGAATCAAAACTTCGACTCACACACGTGCACACAGACGAGCACATTTCCGCGTGCGCGTATCGACGATCGAAACTTGACGAAGTCTCCCGGGCACCGCGACGAAGTAATTCGCGCGAGCTGTACTTCTATCGTCGCGCATGTATATCTTTGGAAGGAAAGAGAAGACAGAAAGAAGAGGGGGCAAAGGGGTTAAACAAACTACCCGTTAACTTCGGCGTTCGAATAAATCGTGTGATGCGCCGTAGTATGATAAGAAGGGAAAGAGGAAAACTGTGTAATTGGCGGGAGTGCGGTCGTTTCTCCCCCTCCCTTCTGCCAGAAGAGGAGAGCAACGTGTTTACGGACGCATCCGCGACGTCTCCTTCGCCACCGCCACCGCCACTGCAAATCTATTAACGCTAATTAAGTACGTGGATTTGCGTGTACTTGGAGCAACGCTAAAACTCTCTCTCCCCTGTGATGACTTCGCGCGGGTCGCGGCCATTATGCGCGAAATTACACCAGCTCGCTCATTATTCCATAATGTCACAAACTCATCTGCTTTACGGCGCAGTCGCAAATTGTTATTGTTCGCGTTATTAACATCGTCGGGACCATTGTGATGATTACGATTATTATTTCATCGCGTAATAATTGCGTCGTCCTGGCCGGCTTTCGATTTGTTCACTTGCACCTCGGCTGTAACCTCTGGTCCTTTCCGAACGGCCGACTGATTAATGACCTTCGACACGCTGTTTTAACTCGTTCTCGCGTCCGTTAGCCGCCCGTGCACGCGTGCGATTTTATTGAAAAGAATGCCTAAGCGATAAAAAAAACACACACACACAACAGGCTAGCGCCGCGGTGCGCCTATCGACGTTCCGCGACGAGAAATGTGCTATATGCGTTTGAAAATGGTTTTTCATGTTTTCGAAACTATTAGTTTACCACGATCGAACGAACTGACCGCGATGAAAGTACACCCTTTCACGCGATTCCCTTGTAAATTTAACGCGGCCGTTTTTCGTGAAAAATAAAAACGAGAGGGAGCTCTCTCTCCAAATTTCTTGGAGTGGAGTACCATTCAGAATGCGTGAAAAGTAGCAGTGTTTTCACTCGAAGTGATAATGAAAATACTGCCGCTCGAAATCGCAAGAATGAATGTTTCACTCAAACTTGAACACAGAAAAATATCATTCTAATGCTAAGGAAAGCGATTCAATTTGCTATATTCAATTTGCTTTGCTTCTTTTAAGTAATGGTTATCTTCATCAAAGAATATTTTCTTGATAATAGTCTTAAGGTAAGACTTTGGTTTAGATAGTCGAGAAATAGAAGGTTTTTACGAATTCTTTTAAAAAATATGTGAACAAAGATATCAGTATGGAATTTTGACCGTACTATTAATCATTGTTTTAAATACAGAGAAATTATTTTTAAAGAATTGAAATTCAATCTAAGTTTTTTGTACTGAACGTAGTGTCGCCTGACACCTGTAACGGTGGACAACATTATGTCGTGTAATATAAAACAAATAGGATGAGAAAATTTAAAAAGAATATTAAATTTACTGAAGGATAAACTTCTTTTGGAAAATGTCCAAAATTAGTATTTTTTCCCGAGATATTAAATAAGAACGAAAGAGATAGAGGAAAACTGACTTGTAACTTTGAAGTACCGCTATTTTGTTAAAATTTCAACTTCCTGCATAAAACAAAGGTTCATTATCCAGAAAATTTAATACAATTTTTATACTCAGTTTCTGGTCCCACTTGTGTGTTTTAGATTATTATATGAACCGTAATGTTGTCTACCAGTCAGTGACATGCAGCGACATCGTGCTTAGCACAAAAAAAGCTGGACAAAATTTTAATTCTTTTGAATTAAATAAGAAATTATTTTTTTAATAAGAAATTGTTTATGCTTAAAAAAGCGATTAATAGAATGGTTATAATCCTATATTGATATTTTCATTCATTTCTTTGGAAAAATTTCGTAAGAATTCGTTCCTATTTTTTAGACTAAACTAGAAAACTACTTTTAAAATATAATCATTACAAATATTAAAACTATATACTAAGAATCATATCCTAAAAAAAAAGTATCTATTCTCTTTATCTATTCTCAAGAATGTTATAAGAATATTATAACTAGCGAGGAAAAAATAGTTGTACTCTATGTAATTAAAAAACCGTGAAAATTTTTATTTTAATTTAATATTCTTGATCGAAACGCTAAACTTTACAAGATTCAGAATGTATTTTGAATAAATTTGATGCTTATGATGAACTTATAATAGATGGATTTATGGCTGTATATAAACTTATGAAATATTTAAAACAAGTCACATTTATTTGAATGCAGTATGTATTTTTCCGTGTAAAGTAGATCTTGACTTTATATAAACGAATGTTTCAATCCGTTAAAGTGAATACTTTCCTGCGACGGTGGAGTACTCTTGTAGTTTGTTGACGGTAGTAAAATTCACTCAACTTCGAGCGAGAATATTCACTCAACGAGTTTCAGAGTGAAGAATTCATTCTATACGAGTGAAAAGTCATTCGAGTGACTTAGTCACTCCACTTTCCAAGTGAAACTTTACTCCAAGAAATTTAATAGAGAGAACTCTCAACGTGTCACTCGACTATTTTCCTTTCTCCCTTCCTTCCTTCTTACGCCACACGCCACGACTACATAAAAATTCATTACAACCGGCACGTAAAAATTCACCGAACCAACTGCTAACTCGCGTTCAGTTAATTCAGCCAACATGCGTGAGACACACCCCGGCCTGGCCTCGCCTCGTCGTAGTCCACGCCGTCGCGTCGACGACTCGTCGTCCCGCGGCCGCGTGCCCGCGACTGTTAATCATCGTCGCGACGTTAACGTTGACGTTAATTGCACTAACTGACTAACCGAAGAGACGAATTGCACGGCACCCTCACCTCGCCACCTGCCATCCACCATTACTAGCGTTTTTGGTCGGCATCGAACAGATACTTCGTCGGCCGGCACATCGTAATAAGAGCGACTCGCGGTCTGCGGCCTGGCGACGTTATTGCCGAAAACTACGGGCCCATATTTACGAAGAGGACCCTCGCTGAACGTCAAAGGACACTGGCGGCAAGATATTGGTTCCGGTGCGGATGCAACGCCTGCCAGGAGGACTGGCCGCGCTTTGAGAATCTGACGAACGACTCCGCGAGGTTGAGGTAAGTCCATTTAAATTCGCCGACATCAAGCTCATTAACGGAGTAATTGAATTGAATGAACGGTCTTATCGATACAGCCCACCGGGCCAAGTTCTCCCGCCTGTTCACCCAACCCAAGAGGACCTCCCAGTAACCTCTCCGTTCGAATGTCTCCCTCTCGACAGATTACCGAGGAGGAGCAATATCGATCGGAAATAATGCCAAGTGCGTTTAATTAAGACGCTCGACGTTAACACACACATACACACACACACTCTCTCTCTCTCTCTCTCTCTCTCTCTTTCTCTCTCTCTCACAACTAGTAGAGCCTCTCGGCGAAGTCACCCCGAATCGTTTGCAATCGTACGCTGCTTGAAACACAATTAGGGTGATCGTCTCGTTGAGTAGCCGCACTCCATTCTAGGGTAGATATTTGAAGTATCAAATACACACTTCTCTCGGTATCTTAATTTTCAGTAGATCAATTCAGTTGAAACGCATTTAGTTTCAGTAGAAACGCCTTTATATTTCAGTTATTTGCTTTTTCATCCTCCTCTCCGATCAGTTACGATACGATATAGAGGAGACCGGGTCTGTGATTGTCACTTTGATTTTAAAGAAAGATGTATGCAATATTTTTTCAATATTAAGCACATTTTCAATCATACAAGAATATTGTATGATTTTGTTTCTACTGTTTCTTTCACGATAAATACGTAAAAAAACTACATGACTGACATACCCCTTAACATACCAACTAGATTCAGTCTCTCCTACGCGGTGCATGCATATATGCATTGTTATTGTTACATTTAACTCGTAACAGGTACGATGCCTTTTTAGTCAAGCTATAAGTACAGTGTCCGCCGGATTCCACTGTAAATTTTTGCCATTTTTAACATGATAATAAAAAATAGAAAGAAAAACGCTTTATAGTTCGAAAATAATACTTTACGAATATTATATTACAACTAGACATATGTAATAACAGTCTCAGTTTTCCAGTAATCTAAAAATAAAACGTTAACTGATTATAAAATAAATACAATGTGGACAGTGTTGAAATAAAATACACTGAAAGACAAATAATCGGAAAAAGAAAAAAATTTATGTTTTAATCTAAGCCCACAAATTATAGATTATATAAAAAATATAAATAAGTATTGTTAAATTAAATACAATATTAAAATCTTAGAGGGTTTTTAGATGCAATCGTTATAGATAGTGCTTGTACATTTGATGCATACTGGTTCATTACACATACTTCTTTGGACTTCATATCTTTATTTCTAGGACATTTATTACATCTTACTCTGGATGGCAAAATAATTTTAGATCTTTCAGTTTCTTCAATTTTTAAAATAGATGAAATTATTAAACGCAATGGCTTATGAATATATTGAGTTGTAAGACGTCTCTTAAGTTCAGGTTCTACTAACTGAAAAGCAAGAACTTTTACTCTTTTGAAGAATGAGTCATATTGAGCTGAAGATTAAGAAAATTATTTTTATAAAAAGTAACGTTAACGGTACAATGGGGTCACTGTGACCCCAGATGAAAAACAAATACACATAATTCACAGCTACTTACAAATAACTCGATGATCTTTTCTTCTGTCACATTTAAAACTGTTAAACTCGAAAAGTACTGAAGATATTAGCGTCATACAGTGAACAGTTTAAGAATTATCATGAAAATAAAATTAGTTAGGGTCCCTGGGACCCCATTGTACCTGTTACAGGTTAATATAATTGAGTTGCCTTCTCAAAACTAACAGTTATGATACAATAATATGTAAATACAGCACCCGAGTCGAAATATAAAATACCGTAATGGGAAATAGAAGGCATTATTGGAGTTTTCTCTATGTACCTAGACAAAATATTCATACAGATTCTGTATAGAGAACGTGAAATTGATGCAGCAAAGAGAAAATTCTTTCAGTCTCTCAAATTTTAAATATTTCTCTTTTTAATGAATCAGTAACCTCCATTAGTGTATGTGTGCTATCAAGAGAAGCTGTGAAAGCAAAGTAAAACGAAATAAGGATTAAATAAATTATCAAATAAATGTAATTATATAAAGAAGTATAAGATAAATGATTTAGCCGCTTTGTTACTAGAGAATCCGAATCGAATTTAAAATAAGATCTCAATAGAGAAAGATAACTTTATTATACATGATCGTATAAATTCACAAATACATTTATTAGCATTTTTCTAGAAATGATATCATTTGTTAACCTGTTTAATACTAATTAGCAAGCAAAGTGAGGATCTCTCATTAAAGAGTTATAGGAAAAGAGAGAGGTATATTAAAAGATAGGGATGCGAAAATACGTAGATAGTAAAAGTTTGGTGCAGAGAATTTTTTTGTCATTTTTTCCATTAAATTCTCCTAGGAGGTTCTGACATCAAAAGGAAAATATGAAGTCCTCGTTAAATGTCTAAAAAATCCCGAATCAATGCAGTTTATTCTCTTCATAAAAATTATTAATTTTTCAAAATACTGGATACTTTTAATTTTTTTTTCATTTGACAAATATGGCCTAGCTTTTGTACCAAGCTAACGGGTCTTTGTCGCACTATTTCTCTGCCAAATAATTGCTTTCGCAATAATTTTCGAGTGCTCGTTCTAAGAATGTACGTCGCTAACGAAAACTCTTGTGAAAAAAATGCTCTCTCTCTTTCTCTCTCTTTCTCTCTCTCTCGCGAGTAAAGTTCGAATCCCAAAAGAGCCATACCGTGGTGTGCGATTAGATACTTTCTAAAAGTATCGAGAGAGAGAGAGAGAGAGAGAGAAAGTGAGAGAGAGAAACAACAAAAACGACAGAGACGTGATAGCAGCCGCAAAAGCGCAAGAGTGTCACGCAAGGAGAATAACAAGCAGCCCGGAATGGCGGGGGCAAGGGCAGAGCGGAGTAGAGGGAGGAGGAGACGGAAGTTAGCAGATGTTTTTAGTGATCGTTAAAAACCGCAAGTCCCCGGCGAACGAGGCGAAGTTCTCAAAGGGAAGCGCAAGGACGCTCCCGTCAAAGGTACTTCTGTTCGCCGTCGTGAGATCTTTGCGACGCCGACGGCACGGCGGGCCAGGTGCTTTTATCAGTTTCGCGGTAATTTTCTGCTGCGCCGGATAGCGCCACTCGTTACGCGTCCTTTATGTCAACAACGACGGTCGGACGACAGTATTTTTCCCCGAGAAATAAACTACCGCGCGCGCGGTACTCTTCTCCCCCTTTGAGAGAGCGCCACCGGTCGCATCACCCTTCCCTCCCCCCTCCCTCATCCTCTTCCGCCCTCCCACACTTCCGCACGCCGGTCGGCGCGAACAAAAGTTCAATTACGAGTAATTATTTCATCGTCGCGCTAACGCAAATGTAATTCTCCTAAGTGCGTCGGGGTCAATGAAAAAGACGCCAGCGTCGGTCTACAATCACGACAAGGACGACGACGACGGACGATGGAAAGACCGATTTAGAACGTAAAGTCCTTCGCCCTTTCGGGCGTGTCTTCTTCGCTCGGTATTGAGGGATTGTTGCTCGAAGGAACAATTTAATACCCATTAAGATGCTTTCACGACCTTTCGCATTTCGCGTCGCGTTCGCGCGCAACGTTTCGTTCGACCTGTTCTTTTTAGCTGAACTAGTGCTGCACTGGAATTTCGTTCCATTTCCCTCTAACGCCGGGTTGCATATTAGGATGTAAAAAGTTTGTCATGTTTGTCGAATAAAATACAAAATCGGAATTATCCGATTTTGAGAATTAATAATTTTCGCCAATAAACAGCATCGACTCGATAGTTCTTAAACATTTTAACGAGGACTTCTCGTTTCATTAATATGTCTATAATAATAGTCTATAATATTATTATGTCTATAATAATAGTAATAATAATTTTTCTTTTAGTATTTAGTAAACATGCTATGACAATTTAATAATAAATTTAATGGAAAAAAGAAAATTACATAGTAGTAATTATAACAGAATTTTCTGTAGCCGAGGAAAATATCGGCATTTTCTACATTAATTTATTATCTTTATGTTTCGCACATGTTATTTATATTTCAAGAACTAGAATTTATATTTTAAAAACTATTAAAAAATTCAACATGTTTCTCAGCAAGATAATTTTGAACTGACAATTTATTTTTGCACTACTAGAAAGCATGGTAAAATGGAAGAAATTTATATGAAAAGAAGTTATAACATTTTCTCCATGTATACGGAAAAAAAAATTCAACTCGACTTACTAAATGGATAAAACCAGGAGAAAAATTCGCTGACGAGAAATAATATCTCTGTTACTGTGACTGAAAACATTCATCTGAGCATTCAGCTGCATTAAAAATCGGTTAAGATAACGGAAAACAATTGGCTGGGGAAACTCTCTACGGGAATCTTTCTGTTCCTATAACCAAGTTTTTCATCTGGTCCCCAAGTAACAGAAAATTTAGTTACACTAACGAAGTTATTTTTTCCGTGTAGTTCAGCTAAAAAGGACAAACCTGTTATTCCGTTGAAAAGCATGAAAGCACGGACATAAAAAATTGAGAACTTTCAATATTCTACTCCATTGATAATTATCAACAATTGTAATTTATATCAACAATTATTGATTATTTTTTTAGACAGTTCTGTGATTTCTAAAAATTATTAATAAAATGACTGTATCTATTTATTTGGGGATCTCTCTAGTTGGTAGCAAGTAATTATATAAAATTAATCAGTTTTATTTCAAATTAAAAAATATAATAAAACAGAAAGTATGAAGCACCTCAGAAATATTTTAATTAAGGAATTATTTTTAAAGAGTTATTTTTATTTTGATCGAAAAATATCAACATGTCAGTATAATAAATATCAGTATCTCTGTTGTTTCTGTCGTTTCTATCATATTTTAACTTTAAATTTGCTTTCTGATATGATTTGGCCAGCCTCTTACTAAAGATATTTTCTACGGGTACAGAAGTAGCAGAGACATTAATCCAAACAAATGAATAAATATATTAATTATTAATCAAGGAATTTAAAATATTTTATCTTAAAATATTATCTTAAAATATGAAAATATGTATAAAATATTGCAGATTATATTAAAATATAAGAAAGAATGAATAAATTATAAGACAATTATATCGTATCAATTTTAGGTATTAATTATAAATGTAATGTTAAAAAAAATTAATTACTCGAAATTTTCATTTCATTTATGTGACAGATTAATAGATTTATCTTTAAAAATAAGAATGTAATCAGAGAATTCTATGAACACTAATATGTTTAAGAAACAACATTTATAAATGTATATCAGAGTAAATTATAAAGATTAAATAGAAATATATTCTCTTCATTAATTTTTGTACAAATCGTATCTTTAAACAACAGATTATTCATTGTCTACATAGGTGACATTACATATTCTCTAAAAATAATTTGAAAATATTTAATATAATTATATAAAATATTTAATAATATTTAAAAATAATTTGACAAATATTGCTTTTAAAAATAATTTGACAAATATTGCTTATTCTTGCAATAATAAATTATCAGAAATGATTCGTGTGCATAAAGACAGGTTGCCTCCTGGTTTCCATAATAACGTTGTGTATAAATTGCAATGCAGTAGTTGTGAGGCGTCGTATGTTGGTCAAACTAGTAGAAGACTCTCTACGCACATTGCTGAGCATAGAAGAATACCAAGGAGTTCTACAGTTGAGTTAACGGCCATACAAGAACACCGTTTGAGAAAAAACCATGATTTCAATTGCGATCAAGCCAAAGTTTTGCATAAGGAACGTTATTACTTGAAACGCCTGATATCAGAAATGATTTACATTAAATTTCAAAAGTATGGACTTAACTCTCAAAAGGGCACAGAATAACTGGGTAACAGCTACTGCGGCTTATTATGAAAATAAAACTTTGCTTGTTTTCTTCTCTTCCAAGAGTCGTCGCCGCAATGTTAATGCTCGTGTATATAAATCTGTTATTATCTCTTTTACTTAGACGTGGCGATGTTATCGTTGACAGGATCGTTTCACTTTTAGCCGAGCTCAACAAAGGTAATTTATATTACCTTTGTTGAGCTCGGCTAAAAGTTTTATTATTACTATTATTACGTTTTATTAGTTATTATATTTTAATCTTACCTATTTTTATTTTATTTTATGGTTTTTTTTATAGTTATGACGGCTACTTCCTAGTATTAATTTAAACTTCTTAATATTAGTCGGGTAACAGTCTTGTCAGCTATAATACTGCGAATAACATTCATGTCATTTTATTAAGGTCTTTAATTAATTCTTTTACTTGTAATGCGTTCGTTTTGTAAACCTTGAGTTTTTTTTTATATCACTGAAGAGGGTTCATGATTGAGCCGAAACGTTTGATTATTTATATTGAGTATTCATGTTCAATAAATATTGCTCTATTTCCTAACAGGAAGGTTTTACCCATATGGTACATAGCACTATTAATTTTGTGCTTGAACTCGAATTAGTCCTTTTTCCTATTATTTAACTGATATTCTCTAAATTTCCTGATGTGATATCTCACTCGAAACGAATGAAAAGTGACAGTATTTTCACTCGGAGTGATAAAAAAATATTGTCACTTAAAATCGCAAGAGTGAATGTTTGACTGGAATTTTAAGTGGATTCTGACTTCATATAAACGAATTTTTAATTCCATTAGAACGAATGTGTTCGTCTGACAGTGGAGTGTATATAAGATTCACTCTTTAATCTTGAGTTAAAGACAATATTTTTCTATCACTTCGAATGAAAATACTGCCACTTTTCATTCGAGTGAGATATCATATCAGGAAATTTAGAGAATATGTAATGTCACCTATGTAGACAATGAATAATCTGTTGTTTAAAGATACGATTTGTAAAAAAATTAATGAAGAGAATATATTTCTATTTAATCTTTATAATTTGCCCTAATATACATTTATAAATGTTGTTTCTTAAACATATTAGTGTTCATAGAATTCTCTGGTTACATTCTTATCTTTAGAGATAAATCTATTAATCTGTCACATAAATGAAATTATGAGTAATTAATTTTTTTTAACATTACATTTATAATTAATACCTAAAATTGATACGATATAATTGTCTTATAATCTCTTTAATATTGACTCGACGATTCAAGGTAGAGAATTCACTGCGTATGGATAAAAAAAATTACTTGAATTCGTGTGACTCGGTGGTCACTTTTTTCTTTTTTGAGTAAAATTTCACTTGAAGAAATTTAGAGAGTACATAGTTTACGTTGTATGCGCATAGAGGATACAAAGTACTATAATTTATTCTTTAAATTTCTTGAAATGCATTTTCACTCGAAAAATAAAGTGACCATTGAATCACTCAAATTCGAATGATTTTTAGTGAATGATGAATGAATTTTTCATTCTGAATCGTCGAGTGAATATTTTCACTCGAAAATGAAGAGTGAATCTGATATATATCATCATCATACTCCCTTCTCTTAAATAACAGAAATTCCGGTGTAAGAGAGCTAGAATATAATAAGCGAAACCAATTCTTTTTTATTTCTTAGTCTAACTTCTTACGTCAAACTCACTCTGCATATTGTAGGTGAGTCTTAAAGCGGATGGCACACCGAGAAACGTAAGCAGTAAAAAAATTAATCAATTATACAATCGATTATTCTTGGATCGTAAAAAGAATCATCGACTGTGGTTGATCAATTTGTTTATTGCTTCAGTTTTACTGTTCACGTTCTTCTTTGTGCTCCCAGTCTAACGAAGTCGTCGACGCACAAAAGAAAATTGCGGAATATCCTTCTGATATCTCTCCCCCGTACAGGTGTCCCACGGCGGGATGCGGCAGATTGCATTCGCGGGCGCAGCAGCAACAGAAGCAGCCATCTAAGCTGATAAAATGTTCGGGTTGTCAAAAGAAAATCTGCTTGAAGGATCGTCTGGCGTCCCTGCGGGAGTGTGAGGCACTCTATGCTCGCGGATTGGCGAGTATGGAGGACGAGCGGGTCGGCGAGGCGATCGGGATGTTGCGCGACGCCCTGAAGAGATTTCACCAAGTCGCCTGTCCACCGCACCGGGACACGCACCTGGCCGAAATTGCTTTAAGCTCTTGTCTGGCTGACTCCGGGAATACTTGGAGACCGACGGCGCTTTGAGCGCGCCGGACGCAGTGGAAGAGGCGGGGGTGGCGCAGGGAAAGGAGCAGAAGCGGCAGGAAGTGGAAGAGAGAGAGAAGCCGCATATCCGCGGCTCCTCTTGTAAGCACGCCCGTGTGCGGCCGTGATATCGCCGCGAATAAAAGACGGGAGCGGCAGCGTTTGATCGCGCCGCAACGTCAGATGGCAATTTCACGGGCGGCTAGGAGCGGAGGGGGTACGAAATTTGGGCTTTTCGCACGCGCGCGAGAGGGATGTTATCTTTATTGCCGGTTGCGAGATTGCCGATTCGCACGCCGACGCGATAAAGCTTCTCACCGAGGAACAATGCGACAAAAAGGCAGCCGTCCTCTCGCGCAAACGGCGCGTAATGTCGCACGCACGCACATCATCGCTAATGCACACAAGCACGAGCACGCACACACATACAGCGCAGAAACTTGCAGCTGTACTGCAAGGAATATTCTATACTACAGTACAATGTTACAGAGACATTGCATAGATAATTTTCATCATGTTACATACTAGCGATACTTCATAAACATTGTGAAAATATAATAATTTGATGTATTTATGTATACTAGAACCCAGATAGACTCATGACGTGAAACAATCGGTTGGCAAAAGCTCTATTTTTTAAATGTAATTTTTCAAATTACATTTATGAGGCAAATATTGACTTAAATCAAATTTCCATCACGCAACGATATAAATTTTTTATTATATCGATGCAATGACAAATTTACTAAAAAAATTGTTTTGTGCAAATTTTTATAATTCTTTGCGTATTTCTTCTGTATTTTTATTTCGCCATTCCACACGATAGATATGTGTGCCATATGACTAAAGGACGTAACCTTTACAAATCAATTAGTAAAATTGCTGCCCAATCTACGAATATCTGTCTATCTAGAAGTGAAATAAATTGCCGCAAGAAATATAGAAACCCTTAAAGAAAACTTTAAAAAATTTCGTTGTAGTTTGCAGACACATTGATATATACACTAGGTTAGGTAAAGATTAATATTAGTAATCGATTTTTGTCGTTATATTACCCTCTCGTTATATTATCCTAGTAATCTATCATAAAACTATCGTGACTAACATAAAAACCCAAATAGACTCTTATGATTATTACAACGTGAGACAGTCAGTTGATAAAAATTTTACAATTTTTTTAAATTACATTAATGAGGCAAATGTATTGTTTTAATCATCAAATTTCCATTATGTGATAATATAATTGTCCTGCAATAATAATTATTGAAATAATAATTAAATGTAATAACACGAGTGTTACGTAACAGTTACATTGCTGAGTGGGAAATTAATGTAATCTTACTCTTAGTTGGTGTTTATTATGACATATCGCACAGTCAATCGCACAGAACAGTTTAGACACTATTAAGTTGCGAGCTCACCAAAATTGGGAATCATTACCGACCGATCAGCTTGCGTAGTAAAAATGTAATTAACAACATAATTAATAATGTAATTGTTCCGAAAGCTCGTCTGTAATGACTCTCAATTTTGATATAATTTAGTGAGATTCTAACTTTATTATGTCTAAATATTTTGCAACTGAATGTATAATAGTATTAAAGTGAGATTACAGAAAATTAAATATAATTCACGAGATATTTCATATCTCGTATTGAAAAATATCAAGTTGTAACAAAATATAAACTATCTCGAGAAGTGTTCAATAATCCTCAATAATCTTACCCCTGTGTTTTTATAATACGCACAATGACCAAAGGGATACTGCAGATTTTTATGAACAAACTTCGTAAGTATATAGGAATATTTAATCGAAATAAAGAAATAAAGAAAAAAGTTAACATATACAATAAAACATTACAATAAAACTTTTAATATGATTTGTTGCATATATTGCTATATTATTTGATATGTTGCTAATCATTAAATATAATTACGAATTTATATTTACATAATTTATTCCAATTTTTGGTGTCTATATACTTGGAATTTTTTTAAATCAAGAATATCTTACCTCTTCCCCTTTCATACACATGTCAGAGCATGTGTCACCTTTTTCTAACTCATAAAATTATATTATTCTAAAACTTTCTATAAAAAATCCATGCGTTCCAGCATAGTTTATCTTCATGTTGTAAGGTTGTTATGCCAACATGTTTATGTACAAAGTATTACTAAATGTATATCACTTTACAATACTTTACAATATTGCTACAGTGTTATACTATAATATTCCTGAAAGCGAACATTTTACTGCCGCTGCCATCTCACAACAACGTTGCAGCATTTTCGTAATGTATTTGCAATGCTGCAATCTTGCGGTACTGAATGGGACGCGTGCTCTCATTGTGCTCGGCTCGCTTGCGTTCTCGCGACCACATCGACACACGGACAAATAAATAGTGATAATTGATATTGCGAGTGTGATCCGGGTGATGGGCTCGAGTGTCTATGTCGGGGGATTAGCGCCCGAGGCGTTTACCGAGGCATCGACCTGGAAGCCAACTTTTTTAATTTCGCGTGCACACAGCGTGTCGACCAATTTGGTTCATCGGGATCTCCTCTCGCGAATCGCCTTCCTCTCTCTTTCTCTCCCCCCTCTCTTTCTCTCTCTCTTTTTCTCTCTGTGTGCGGTGTATCGTGCCGTATCGTATCGTGCAGTATCTCCGTGCTGGAAGCACACGGACACGCGCGCACGCGAGCGCGTTTCTCATAAGTTGTCCCTTTTTGCCGACGTCCTGCGCTCGTCGGATCGCCGGCAGCAAGAAATTCGGCAAATCGACGATATCACGGCCTTTCATTAGGAGAAATCTCGCAGCTTCGCTCGGCCGCCAGGACTCATTCGCGTCGAAAGTCACTTGTAATAAACGAGTCGCGGATTTTTATTTCAGGCTTCCCGGCATTATCATTGTTTCCCGAGGTCCAACCTCATTCTGCTCTCTTAGAGTGAATTAGTAAAAATGTTTCTTTTGATTGAGTCTATAAAAGGAGTAGTTACCTTAGTAACTAAAAATGTTTCTTTTGATTGAGTCTATAAAAGGAGTAGTTAAAAGGAGTAGTGACGGAAAATCGTAACTTTTCTTTTCGTATTTCATTCACGAGTGTGAATAGTAATTCCCAACATACTTTTTTTTAGCTATTATTTAGCTACTATTTATCTACTAAATACGAATTCGTTGCCTAAATTTGATTATCACGTCACGATTTTGAGAAAAATGCAGTAAAATGGGCTAAACACGATGATTTTGGGAAATTTCATGAAGTTGTAGTAGCAAAGTTCTTTTTTTAATTTTATTATGGAAAATGTGAACTTTAAGCTTTAAAATGAATAAAATTTGATTTCGCACGAGCTTTCATTTTGGAGATAAAGGCCTATATTCTGAACTCCCTTTTATCGCTAAAAGCGTCTCTAAAAGTGACTTATAATTAATCGGAAGGCTTATAAGCCACTTTTAGAGGCGCTTTTAGGGATTAAAGAGAGTTTATAGAACATGGGTCATAGTTATTTAAAATTAGTCTTTTTTCCCCAAGTCATAAAATATAAATTAAGAATAATAACATAAATATAAATTAATAATAATAACATATAACAATTATGTTGTTATCCATAATATAAACAATTGTATATAAAATTGACTAGTTACTGCTACTTTATATAGCATTCAGGTTGCCTCCTGGTTTCCATAATAACGTTGTGTATAAATTGCAATGCAGTAGTTATGAGGCGTCGTATGTTGGTCAAACTAGTAGAAGACTCTCTACGCGCATTGCTGAGCATAGGAGAATACCAAGGAGTTCTACAGTTGAGTTAACGGCCATACAAGAACACCGTTTGAGAAAAAACCATGATTTCAATTGAGATCAAGCCAAAGTTTTGCATGAGGAACGTTATTACTTGAAACGCCTGATATCAGAAATGATTTACATTAAATTTCAAAAGTATGGACTTAACTCTCAAAAGGGCACAGAATAATTGGGTAACAGCTACTGCGGCTTATTATGAAAATAAAACTTTGTTTGTTTCTTTCTCTTCCAAGAGTCGTCGATGCAATGTTAATGCTCGTGTATATAAATCTGTTATTATCTCTTTTACTTAGACGTGGCGATGTTATTGTTGACAGGATCGTTTCACTTTTAGCCGAGCTCAACAAAGGTAATTTATATTGACCGTTTTATTATTTATTATATTTTAATCTTACCTATTTTTATTTTATTTTATGGTTTTTTTTATAGTTATGACGGCTACTTCCTAGTATTAATTTGAACTTCTTAATATTAGTCGGGTAACGGTCTTGTCAGCTATAATACTGCGAATAACATTCATGTCATTTTATTAAGGTCTTTAATTAATTCTTTTACTTGTAATGCGTTCGTTTTGTAAACCTTGAGTTTTTTTTTCTTTATATCACTGAAGAGGGTTCATAATTGAGCCGAAACGTTTGATTATTTATATTGAGTATTCATGTTCAATAAATATTGCTCTATTTCCTAACACAAGGAAGGTTTTACCCATATGGTACATAGCACTATTAATCCTGTGCTTGAACTCGAATTAGCCCTTTTTCCTATTATTTAACTGATGTCATTGTTATTGAGTTCTTATTTTCTTTCTCTTAAACTTAAAATTCATATTTTCTTAGAATATTAGCGAAATTAAAAAAAAAAAATTTCTGTCGTTGCTGCAAAGTCATGAAATTGCTCAAAAACGTCGTTTTTTACCAATTTTACAGAATTTTCTTCGAAATTGTGATATGACTAAATTTGAAGGACAAATTCGTATTTAGCGACTAAAAATATATCAAAAATGACTATTCACAATGCCTGCACTGGGGCAAAACAATCTCGGATAGTATTATCAGTGAATATTTACTGATTTTCAATAAAAATAACACTTTTTTCTTACCTTTCTACTCTGTCTTATTCTCTAAATTTCGTAGAATGAAATTTCATTGAAAAAGTAGATTATCAAGATTAGAGTGATAAGTAGAGTGATTCAAGTCACCTGAATTCGAATTATTTATTACTCCTATAGTGAGCTTCTCCATTCTCGTTGAATGAATCGTTGAGTGAACATTTTACTCAAAATCGAAAACCAAATCTAATGTATTCGATTGTCATAGGAACACACTCCAATCAATTAAAACATTCGCTCAGAATCTACTCTAATCTTAAGTGAAACATTCATTCTTGTGGTTTCGAGTAACAATATTTTGACTGTTGCTATCATTATCGAATGAAAATATTATCACTTTTCACTCATTCTGTGTGAGATTCCACTCCCAGAAATTTAGAAAATATTACATTAAAAAATGATTTTACTGCCGCAGCATGGTTTACTGAAAATGTATCCGTCATTGTAACAAACAGTTTACTAAAATTTTTTTACTTTTAACTAAAACTTTTATTACTGTTGCTACTATATCGAGGTTTCATAACTAAATATATGTCTATTGGCAGCTACATTTTTAGTGTCTTATGTGTTATAACGAGATTTATCTATCATATACAGATTCTTGCTGTTGCAGCAAGAATCATCAATTCTTTTTCTCGTTAAATAATTCTTTTAGCGAAATTTTGAACCGATTTTGATAAAAAGTAGCTTTTTAGTTTATCTCGTATGTATATATGTTTGTTTGTTTCTATGTCCCCTCGAGGACCGTTAGAGATATTGAGAGATGAAACTATTTGTAACTCAGTATGTTATCTTTTTATAACGTTTATATAAAGAATAACCCTTCTTTTGAATACATGATAATATACTTCTCTCAAATTTGTGATTAGAGTATATTTTAAGACTATAATCAAGAAAATATTTTTTATTGAAGATAATTATTATTTAAAGAGTCACAGTACTTAACAAGAGTAAAAATAAATAAAAATTTGGAAAATTATAAAAAATTGTAAATTAATAGGAATATGAACTTTTTGTTATATGTGTCTATTGAGTACATTAAATAATATCTTGGTATAAAAATTAGATTCTATGATGAATGTTAATATTATTTCAATTTTGTTCTGCAAAAGAATCATGCTTCAATGATAACTATCCTAGTTTCAACAGGAGTAATCTAAAATCAGTATCAATACATTTTTTTTGTTTATTAGCGTTATAGTTACCGGTTTATGGGGCTGATTTTGAAAAAATCAATATTTTGCAAAACAATAGTTATAAAAAATAAAATTTAATCTTTTTACTAAAAAATACGAGCTTGTGAAATAAATAAATAGAAAATAGTTTTGAAATTTGCGGGAAACCTCTGTGAACCGATACAGATAATTATGATAAACATTTGTGTTAAACATTAAACTAATAAAATAAACCATTCTCAAGTTACAGTCTATAAATGTGTTATTTATGAGAATAACGTGTTTAAAATTTCATAATGAATTCTTTTTCAGTTTTTTTTATACCAAGACATTGTTAAATGTACTTGATAAATCTACATAAGAAAACATTCATATTCTTATCAATTTATTTAATTTTTATTACTCAAAGTAAAGTAAAAGAAATAAAGTAAACTGAATTAATTGTTTTTCTTAGCAGTAGAATGATATTTTTCTGCGTGCACAGTTATAAGTACAGCATTTCGTAGAAGAATACACTAACTGTACTTTAGAGAGAGAGAGAGAGAGAGAAATATCGCTCTTTCTTTTTAAAAATAAAACAGAACACCTCTAAAATAATTTCCGTTTGACTTGGCCGCGTCTGACGTGAACACTCGCGGGAATTAGCGCGCAGTTCTCGCGAACGCGCCGTTTCGAGCCTGCCTTTGCATTAACTGAAGCAACCTGATCGCTAAGCAAATCCTACGAGCACGCAACTGTGGAGCGCAATGCGGGTCCCAATATTGTATCCATAATAAAACTGTTTTACATTTGCCGTCGAGCGCGAGCGGCAAAAACGCGCGCCGACCGCGCCGGATCTATACGGTGGTTGCGTGCTC